ATATATATATATATATATATATATATATATATGTACCTGCGATCCGGAGTTTTGAAAATACTTCAGTATTACTGTGGTTATATTCGGCTAACGTTCTGGGGTCTTTGCCTTCCTCACAGCCAGATTGGTGCGAGTTAGTTGCTCACAGTTGTTCCCTCTTCCAGTTTGGGTTTCGTAATTGCATCATCTCGAATGCAGTGGTAAGCACTACTTCGAAAGACAAACCGTGCTGAATCTCATGGATGGACTCATACTCTGTGAGCATTGAGCCGTTCTAAAGAAGTTTAACCAGTGGTTTATCATCTCGCCATAGTGAAGCATTCTCTTTATTTGTCGGAATCGAGTGTTCAGGCCGAGATATTTCAGCGTTTCTTCAGTGGCCACAGCACCCATGCTTCATACTATCCTCAGCAGTAATAGTCTCTCACCACAAAAGGAACCCTTGGGAAGAAGGGTTTTTTTCAATTAAGTGAAGAGGTTTTCACAAACCACGCTAATCATAACACCATGTTGGAAAATCGATTGATAGAATGCAAAAATGGCGGCGAAAACTGTTGTCAACTGCTGAAGATGATCGTACGTTTTTTCATGATGATAATAGTGCAGCACATTTTATGGTCAGAATAGTAGTTATTTCTATTGACTTCGTGCAAGCTCATCACTGAAGGAATATATACTGATTATTCATCCCGAGCTCAAGGGAAAGTTTGTTTTTGAAATAGAATGCAACAAAACAACAAAACGGTGTGTTTAAGAGAAGCTGCTCTCTGAGTGAACAAACATTTAAGCATTCACCTTAGTCTGCTGAGGTTATGACTGCGTTTGACTAGGTGGATTGCGTTTCAATTTGACTCTCCCACGCTCTGAAGAAGGCAAAGCCGCAGAAACGTCAGCCACTATCGCAATAAATAAAACTCGCTGTTAACAACCTCGTGCTTGCTCATCAAGAAAGTTATTTATTGATCACCGCCGAATTTAAAAGAAAGTCGGTTCTGGAATTTGCCACATGAAATATAATAGTCTCGCAGTATTGAACATTTTCATTAGTTTTATTCGTCGAGGAAAAAATCACGATGATTTTCATACACTAGAAATTTTTGGTTCGTTGGGTTCTGTAAAGCGTAGATTTTCAGTGGTCATAGAAACTGTGAAAAAACAAACTTGTCTTTCATTCTTTATCAACAATAGACCTTACCATAAACCATATCATAGATAAATGGTACACAGCAGTGAACGTAGACTGGCACGTATGGTTTCGTGATATTTTCTAATACATTACAATGATTGAGTCACCAATCACCTTCCGAGAGTGATATCAACCCGCACCTTAATGAAGGAGTGATACACATAAATCGCCAGCATTTCCCACTAAAAGAACGAATGTAACTGGTTCCAAGAATATGACGTCATAAATGAGCTACTATGTCGCGTATTCAGCAACACGGACACAATGCACAATGTCGAGAAGCTTGCATTCATGTGCCGTCAATACCTATTTCTATTGCTCACTGAGAAATTATGTCTTACAATCGGTTCTCAGCAATGCTCATAACAACTCTCTCTATTTAAATTTATACATTCGGACAGAATTTGACGGATGATCGACTATAAGGCATTGACCACTTCGTAGACCCGTACCGACGCATACGCCACAAGGACGTCGTAGACGGTCACCATGCGAATCTATGTAAAAAACAAACGCGCCCTTGTACCGCGAGATCTAAAACATATCAATATTATTTTGTACGTATAGTCCACTAAAGGCATTCAATTAATTGTACTTGATAAGCCCTACTAGCTAGTGATTCATATTAGCATGCATGCGATCGGAAAATAGACAAACAAACGATCGTCATACAATCTTCTGTAAGAAAATAAATCAGTTAAATAATGCGCCTCCCGATGCTTTATGGCCTCATCGTGGCTGGGAGCGGTTCCTGGGTGTTCGGCTGCGATGTACAACGGGGGAATTCATCCCGCAACAGGGTCTCGCAAGCTGAGAAGGCGTTTCCATCAGGAAGTCAAGCTAACAGTAAACCAATACCAGGATCCATCACAGTCCTGGTACCAAATTAGTCGCATGGTGGCAAATCTCTCTCTGATCCACAAGGGCTGCGACTCCCTGTCGTGATGACGACCTGGAGCAGACTTTGACTAGGCTGGCCTCGATATTGCAGGGAACCCAAATGGCTAAACTAGCAAATCTCAGAAAAAAATGGAGGTCGTGCTGGTACCTGTACAACTAGTGAGGGCGGGCCATCCAAGTCTCCAAGTACCTAAGTAAGTAATATGCAGCCGTCCATATCTTTTATTCACTTTACAAACATAACAGGCTAGAGCGCTCCCACAGGCCTCCATGGAAAATAAATATCTAACCAATGAAATTCGGTAAAATTACGTATTTGACAAATTTTGGAGAAAGATGCTTTCAGATAAAAAGCCACTTTACTGGTAAGGAAATGCTTCGGGAGCCCTATTGATTCACATCTATCTAGATTACAGATTAAATAACACATTTCATTTTCGAAGAAAGTTTCCTTCTCTCATCATGTAACTTGATTTCTACAATAATTATAGCCGATCGCCTAAATGCGACACTTAATAGGAGGACATCCAGTATAGTTGTCAATCTAATGTTCAAACGAAAATCATCACCAAAAAACCCGCCAAGAGATTAAGATTCTTATCAAATCTAAACAAAATAGAACGAAACATACCGCTATTTGTGCCTTGTTTGTCTTAACATCTACAACTCCAGCAATTACTAATGCTGTTTCAGAACAGACTGCACAGGTGGACACCATTATGCGACCCCTGTAAAACACTAATGAAATGAACTATAGGAAAACTATGCATTGGATAAACACGGAAACGGAAATATACTTACATATTTTATTTTATTTTATTTTGTTTTACACCGCCCATTTTCATATTTAAACTGCGGAACACAGCCCTTCCTTCATTAGACTCATTTTCTCGCAACCATCATCAACGAAGGTCTTTGAACTTTTCGACTATTGGTCCTGCTGCTGCTTAAGGATTCTCGACTTCTTCATGAATGTCGTCAAATACTGGTCAAGTCTGCTTTCCCCTGATTCCTGGGATAGCAGGATTTTAGCGTTACCACTTTTATTTCAGACAATTGACTTTTGCCAGACAAGTCTGGAACCAATTTCCCAATCGAGGAAGGATGAGAGGCATGGTGAGCCCGGTGTGAGGTCGAATTAACATTGTGCTCGCGATGAACGGCACCATTACTACTGTAATATCGATCCGCTACATATACAATACACGGACTTATCAGTAATGTTGTCGACTCAAGCAGTTGGAATGCCAATTTGAATTCGGTGAAAATGGGTACCTTCATGAGTGGTATCAAAGTTCTAACAAAATAGTCTGCGAACTTTAAAAACAACTACCAACTATTTTCATCAAATGCTCCCTTTTAGACCACATCACTGCGAATGAATTTGAAGATTGTCGAATAAGCGTGTTATGAACTAGGTACTAGCACAGATGTGTAAATTGTTATTATGTGTGTACGAGGCTAAGAGTGGATAAACGAAGATGAACGAGCATTTGAAACGACTCATCAGAGCATAAAGCCATAAAAAAGTAGGCATGGAAATTCACCTTAACGACTGAGAACGTCCCCGTTATTAGTTCAGTACTTACCTATATGTAATTACTTTTCAACTACTTTATAAAATTCAAAAAAAGAAACCTAGCATAATACACAGAGAACGGAAATAACGGCGGAATCCAGGTAAAGAGTTACACCGACTTAACCACTGATAATTTCTCAAATACCGCATTTAAGACAAATCTATACGGAAAAACACAATATGCGGTGGCGAAAAAGGTTTCGAACCATCCTGATCCTGAGCTTGCCGATTTTAAAGAAGCTGGAGTTACTCAACAGGTGCCGACAGTCATCAATGGTAATTAAACACAGATTAACCGGTAAGGCACATCTTTGATATCCTGCCGTAATTTAGGTGAGTTTCTTTCCCGCGAAAATGCTGCTGCAGAGAACTTTTTCACAAATTCCTTTCATCCGTTTTTTTCCACGCTAACATAGATTATGGAGAAGCGCTTAATAGAAAAAAAATTGAAATTATAAAAAGTCTGTACTAAAAAGAAAAACGATCTAATAAACAAATTACGAATTGGAAATAGTACGTGTAGCATTTACTTTAGGTAGCAACAGAAACTTGGCTGTAATCTAGAAGTACAATGATGCTCAGATGTAAACAAAACTCGGAATCTCAAGTGAAGACATTGTGCTTTCGATTGCAGCCTCAACTTAACTGGACTCAGTACTGATTTGTGCTTCCTTGATCATTCCTGTCGAAGGATGATTGTTGATAGCGCCAAAAATTTAAAAAAAACTGTCTTGGGGAAAAATAAAGCAACGACCATGGTTGGTGTGGTGGATAGCACGTAAGCCCGTGGTGGAGATAATCATGGGTTCGAACCTCAACTGAAGGTGCGAGTTTTGCTTATATTTTAACATCCTTGTGGTGGTATTTTACGTCATACCTAACCATGAAAAAAGAATAAGCAGAAAATGAAAGTAAAGACTTTGTGATTACTTATGATCCTTAGGAGCAATAGGGATCTCTCTCAAAAATCTCCCAGCGCCATCGAATAATAGGAGCCCATGAGTTGTACCAACAAGAATATCATCATCTAAGCCGACGTTCACAGAAGTAACTGTTAAGCCACGAGTAGGAAAACTGAATTGAGGCCTCAAGTTTGAATCGAAGACGAATATCTGTAAAAAGACACCATAAGCAACATAAGTGATTAGTAAACTTGAGATAAGACAAAAAAGATGACAACGACAAACGGATTAAAAATAAAATGATTAACAATCGTGTTCAGATCAAATGGGAAAAAAAATGAGGGTGATGGAACGGTAAATACTACTCAATACAAGTTTGACACTATTTTAAGCTTCCACTTCGAGTAATTCATTAACACTTTATTAGCAAGTGCAAATGTTATGTATTGATTGCCAATGTATTAGCAAATGAATAGAAAGCTTTGTAAATGACGAACTACTTTTCAATTGTTGAATTTACTTTATAGTGAGCTACAAGTTTCCCACTCAGATTCAAGTTTCATACTAATAAGTTTGTAAAATGAAGGTGAAGCTCTCGGCGTTCATGCATTGGACTTCATTAAGCACCGTTGGAGGTGATCGAATGCAAATCTGGCTTTTACAATTATTTGCGGTAGCCCACCGATGTAATGAGCCAGTGGAGCTATCCTCCTAGACAAGTCTGATACTGAATTGCCCACCCCAGATGGATGGAGGGCTTGGTGGGCCTGGGGCACGGGGTCCGATTCCCTGTGTATTACAGGGCGCCTCCGGCCACTGCCTTACATGTGCCTTAATGAAGTTTATATACTAAAAAATTAATATGTTTATGTACTAAAAAATCGTTGTTTCCCTTTATGCAGTATTTTACAATAATTTTTAAACTTTATTGTGACGAATACTTTCAGTAGCACTGGAAATTTTATATTAACAGTACAGCGTTTTCCTGCACACTACACTCATATTTTAACAACTTGCTTCGAGAAAATAAGGAACTATCCCTGATTTGCTTAATTACAGTAGTAGAAACAACATATTCGATTACTGACATATTTCAGACACAGCTGCTTTTCACCAAATGTCCTTTTGACTTCAAATTTGTTCAAGGGTTAAATTTAAAAAGAGTTGATGGCAAAACTCGAATTTTCTTAACCTTCCGCACAAGCGCAAAGGCTGCAAACACATATGATGCGTTAGTGAAAACCACTGCGAAGGGCAAGAAATACGTTTTGTGAGCTCCATAAGTCAAAATTTTATGCTTTTAGAAGAAAGAAAACTTCATATTTTATTACCAACGATCTTTAAAAACTATGGTTTCTATTTTAATTAATAGAGAGTGCTACCAGCTCAGCTATTTCGGTATAATTTGAGAGACGCAAATTTGTGCGCATATACATTAAAGCCTATGCAGGTAGTAGCGAATTTGTTGGAAAAATAAGTAATTAAATAGCAAAAAACATGAAATACCGATAGCAAGAAAGAAAGTGAATTTGTTACATGCCTTCTGAGCGTCAGCAATTAGATACCTTCCACGATGATCAGCTGCAAGATCGATTGGCTCGTTGAACTCCGAAAAGTTGATGGTCTGAACAAAAAGTATTTTTGCTATACTAGGTAGAACTCACCCAAACAAAACGAAAATGAATAGTCAAAAAGTGAAGTGGGGGGAGTTAAGGTACCATACGACTCCGGTTACATTTGTATCATAGGAATAACACTCATACCTGTATCTCATCACCCTTTGGACCAAGCCTAGTAATACTTTTTGTTCTCCAGTTCAACACCGCCATATCTCCGCCAGATAAAAGGGCCATTCCAACCGCTGCACCGCCACTGAGGCATGGCGCTTTAATATCGCTGATCACATCACCACTAACTTTTACTATACGTACTGAAAATGGTTGGGATCAATAAATGAATGTGGTCAGGAACTTTTCACCACAAAGATAAAATATTCACTGCTCCATTTGCGAAACCTTAGGCTAATTTGAATGAAAATTCCGCGCAATTTATGTAGCCGATTCTCTATATCATAGAGAATATTCTCAACATCTAACTCTTCATATCACAGGCAATGGAATTCTCTTTCTGTTTAACAGTTGGGACCGTCTTCTCTTTACTTGGATACTAGGATGGTACACCCTCACTGGTTGTGCGGGGTCCAGCACGAACTCCATTTTTACGCGTTTAGCTGGTTTAGCCATTGCAGTTCCCCGCAGTCTTGAGGTTAGCTTGGCCAAAGTCTGCCTCAGGTCGTCACCGCCACAGGCAGTCGCCGTCTTTGTGGATCAGACGGACTTTTGACACTATGCGACTAATTCGATACCAGGACGGCAATAGACCTTGCTGGAAACGTCGGACTCTTCTTCAGTCTAGGGGGCCCTGCTGAGGTGATGAATCCCTGGGATGTAAAACACAGACCGGCACCCAGGAACACCTCCCAGTCATCAGGAGGCTATAAACCGTTGGGAGGAGAGAATTCGGTAACAATGATTGAAATACCGTTAGACACCCTTAAATGCTAGCTAGTTCGTAACCGCCTATATGGCACTGTATGCAAAACGCAAAATTATATAATATGGCCTAATGGCTAGATGGTGAATGCATGAGTTCGGGTATGGTAAACCAAATCTCTTGTAAAGCGTGTAAAGACCAAAACGTTGGCTTCACGGATATACCACTCTGCATCCATAAAAGAGAACACTTAGTCGGTAAATTTAAAGTGAAACCAACTCCACTAGGCACGCACGGGACACGGAGACATAACGGAGATGTTGAAACAAAAGCCACTATCCTCGACCAGGAATCCAAAACATTAACGCGCAAAACTCTTGAAGCTTTTAGATACTTACTTGATATTTGAACGAACCATCATCACTAGTTTACGGGCCCCAGCATAATCACCATTTTTCGGAGATTTAGTGGTTAAGCCATTGTGGTTCCGTGGAATCCCGAAGACAGCCTGGCGAAACTCTGCCCCACGTCATCACCTTTACAGGTAGTCGCAGCCCTTGTGGATCAGAGAGAGATTTGCCACCATGCGACTAAATTGGTACCAGGATGGTGATGGATCCTGGTATTGGTTTAGTTTTAGCTAGGCTTCCTGATGAAAACGCCGGACTCCTTCTCAGCTTGGGAGACCCTGCCGGGGAGACGAATCGCCTCGCTGTACATCGCAGTCCGAGACACCCAGGAACACCTCCCAGTCACGATGAGACGGTAAACCGTTGGGAGGATAAGGAGAAGTTTTAGATAAATTCCAAAAATCTGAAAAAAGAACTGCAAAGAAGAGTGCTTTGTGATCAAGAGTGACCACGCGCCATACCGTAGGCTGAATTTTTGATCTGAGCCAGTACATTCCCCGCCCATGTAATACTCTGTGCGGATGGTCTCGGGCAAATACTGGAAAGCTTACAAAGAACAAGACAGCGAGTGTTTAAATAAACCCGTTTATAATCAAAGTGAAAATTTATGTATTGAGTTTTGTTTGGATGAGGTTATGAAAGTGTTTGGCTGGGCAGGTTGTGTGTGAATTTGACTTTTCCAAGCTCTGAAGAAGGCGAAACCACCGAAACGCCAGCTATGGCGTATCAATAAATGCAGTTATAACAACTTCGCGTTTGCCCAGCAAGACAGAGAGTGAATTACTGATTAGTGCCGAAGTTAAAAGAAAGTCGCCCTTAGAATTTATTTTCTTCATTTCAAATGTTAATATTAATCTGAGAGACTTGCAAAAAGGACCCACACGGTGTGGTGGCGAACGCGGTCCGGAGTTTTGCAAATATCTCAGCATCATTGTGGTTACTTTCTAGTTTATTCCCCACCTATTAGCATTTTTCATGGCAGGGTACTATGTGAAATATAACCACAATGATACTGAGATATTTGAAAAATTCCAGCCGTGTCTGCGGTGAGGATCGAACACGCTATGATCCGTTCTGGGGGCTTACACGTTCACCGCCACATCAAGCGGGTACTTCGTTTCACCTTTCTCTCAGCTTGTTGTAAGCAGTAAATTAAAAAAGTTGACTTTGTGTTCGACCACAGCATCACCTTAATTGGACTCAATGTGCATTTGTGCTCCGCAGATCAATCCCACTGACGAATGATTGCTGATTAGATAGAAAACCGGCTGAGAGAAAGACCAAGCAAGCCCCGGGAAAGAGTAATCGCGGGTTCGACCTAACCTGGAGTCCAAGTTTGGCAAATATCTTAGTATCGCAGTGGTTATAGCCTGTATGTTCAATGAAAAGGAATAACATGAAAGAAGAATACTACGAAACTAGCGCCTATAGAACAACAAACGTTGCCAATACGCTATCGAACAATCAGCAACAGGGCTTTGTTACATAGCAGTGTTGATAGTTTTTATATTGCAAACCATGAGATTGATGAAACACCTTAATACTATAGAACACCAGCGAAACTCTTCTAACTTTCAACCAACTATCCATATTCTTAAACAAATTCCGTACACACTAAACCACTACCATTCTCGATAGAAAAAAGCAAAGAAAGACAAAATTATACTCCTAACAGGACTTCTACATTCTAGCCGACCGACTACAGTATAATGTTTACAAGGCGAGATAACTAGGTTGAAATAAGAAAAATTAATTATCCAACTTAAAATTATAACTTAAAACATCCAGTAAGTGTAGATCGTTTTAATAGTAATAAAGCAGTAATAGAAGCTATACTAATATGCCATGTTACCTCTTTCATTGCCAGTGTCCAGAACATGAAGGATATGATCACCACTCATGGATACCTTGACTGGTTGATAGAGCTCTACTGGCAGCTGCCATCTGTGTTAATAAGAATCTTATTAACAGCAAAAAGACAAGTCATTAGCTTAGAGGAAGTGATGACTTCAGTTCTTTGACTATATAAATATCGCTTGAACATGATGCTTACTGGGGTGGATGATGAGAAGAAACCGATACTGTTAAAGGACTGTTTTTTATTGGACGACCAAAAATATCCACGTCAACAAAGTATTCACCAGCTTGCTGCACCCTGAACACAACACTTTACAAGAGCATTTTTGCAGTTAACTCAATATTATAGAATGTTTGATTTCGCACGCCGTACAGGTCGACAGTACACACTGCCTAACTAAATCGATTAAAAAGTTTTGTACGAAGTCGTTTAAAAATATCAGGCCAATATTAAGAATCATGGGACTTAGTAGGGTTCAATCATTTCAAGAAGGCTCTTTGCACTATTGCTCAAAAAAGAAGCTGATAAAGTCTGCATATTTTTGCAACGAAGAGATTAACTGTACAGTCGACAATCTAGTGGAGTTTGAGTGTCCTCGAATACATCAAAGGCGTTGGCTGCTGCCACGTCACTATTCTTCGATCACAGTTCAAAGCTGTGGTCTAGTGATCTGTATTATTTGGACGTCAACTAGTGACCCAGCCTCCCTTATATATTCTTAAAACGATAAGATGAAGAATGTTTAGAGTTTTTCAAGATCACTGCAAGTTCTTCTTTCACTTAATTATCTAGATGGCCTATTTCCACATATTCATTTTTCGTCCCCATAAACTCAGTTGCGACGATACTGGTATACCAAAAAGTGCCACGGCTGTATGAGAGATAGAGCAAACTAAAGTATCTGATGAATTCAAAACTTGACAAATTGACAGTATTCCAATTTTTTTCTGGAACTTTTGAAGATGCTGATAAAAAAGGATAAAGGTCTCGGCGTTGATCAATCCTTGAGGCAAGCGCCATGCATTCGACTTCACAAAGCACCGTTTAGATAGAGATGATTGAATGCATATATGGCCTTTACAATGACTCGCGGTGGCTTATCGATGTATCGACCCAGTGCTGCTATCCTCCCAGGGAAGTCTGTTACAAATTTTCTAACTCCAGGAGGATGAAACGCTTGGTGGACCATGGACGTGGGGATCGATTTTACGTGTGTTGCAAAGCACCTCCGACCACTGCACCACACGCGCCAATAGGGGTGCTGATATAACCCTAAAACTGTTTAAAACAAAGATAAAAAAAAACTGAAAGCAAGATTTGAGACATTATGATTTTCCCTACAGTGTGGAAGGCGAAAACGACTTATCCATGGGAACAATGTCGTTCTGTTGGGTTAAATCTCACATTTTCATTCGCTTTGCCATTCAAAAGATGAGCTTTCACACAAAAACGCGAAAAAAAAGTTTCGTGGGTCTCAGTAAAACAGAACTTCATATAATATATTAGAACAAGTTACACGTCTCCCAATTATAAATGTGCATCGTGGCGAATTTGTTAACATGCTGATGCGGATCGAACGTCCCTTACGCTTTGTAAGGGCGTTGCAAGATCACTACACAGGAAGTTACAAGTTGTCGATCAAAGGGAAATCCGTTGCCTAGCCGCTAAGATTGTTCGAAGCCGTAAACAATCAGTTGACCTTGCTGCAGATGATGTAATCAGTCGAATCCTGTTTTCGCGCAGAAGTCTCAAATTTTTGTAAATACTGATCTAAGGCTTTCTACAGGACAAATAAATATGTAACAGACATTCCATAACTTTGAAATAAGCGAAACATTTACAGAAAGGACAGCTCATAAGTGCCATCATTGAGATCGTTTATTGATATTGGTAGTGTTACATCACCATGTCGAAGTCTAACATCCAGTGGGTCACCTCCAGATGTTCTCGGTCGACAGTCAACGTCGAAAGTTCTGCAAATGACAGCCAAAAGCTTAAAGAAATTTTTACGATTCCTTTCAAGCACTTTTCAAATGGAAAAAAAACCATTATAAAACATTCGTACCTAACAATAAGTTTCACTTCAGTATAAGTTGACGCACTGTCGATGAGTTCGACAATCGTTTCACCAGGAAAAGTTGTTGAAGCAGCCAGAGCTCCAAATTCAGACAGACATCGTTGCACGTCTGCAAATAATAGTCGACAATTAGATATAGAGTTATTAACAAAGAGCAAAGCGTTTAGAATTGACCAATCCTAGAGCGATGAGCAACACATTCGACTTCCACAACTGTATAGGCGATCGAATGCTTATCTAGTCTACCGTTCTTTCACATCAGTGTTTTCATCCTCTTAGACAAGTATGATACCAATTTTCCTATTTTAGAGGAATGGAACTCTTGGATAGTAAAGTGCGCGGGATCGAATCAAGGAGCGATCTATTGTGCATTGCAAAGCACTTCGAACCACCACGCGCGTTTATAGCTGAGTACTTGATGAATTCTGCTTCTGTTCGAAGCATTCTTTATTTCTGGCAAGAAGTCCAAATTCTCTTCTCGATTTCTTCTCTAACTACGCAAAGACGTTATCCCTTTGACGAAACAACATGTATTTCACTTTAAAAAGTCGGAAACGATAGCAGTCAAGTGGAAACATGAGAAAATTACAGTTGAGAGGATGAAAAAACGAGTGCCGAACTTTAGTATTGAAATCTGGAGCAAAATGAAAAAAAAAATCAGGTTTCTTTTTGAAGACTTGAGCAAAAGAACCCAAAAGGAAGTTAGTCTTAAAAGTGGCATTTAGAGTTAAGTTAAAGTTAAAATTAAGGTTAAGTTAAATTTTAAAGTAGTATTCAACAAGAATTTTGTCACTGTACAGGAATATCACTATAGACCTAAAAAGTACTTCACTAAGTCAATCGCAGAGAGAAATAAAATTTTGATGGTTATATTACTCATTTTATACTCAACGTGATAGATATTGGATTCCACAACAATGAATACATTGTTCATTGGTTCTATAACTCACCACAAATCAACTGGTTTGAGTTTGTGTTCAACTTAAGAAATGCGTTCTCTCGCGGTTGTGTGAGCTGACGATCCCATCCACCATCCATCGTTTCTAATTGACGAGCCATGGAACGAACATCCAGTTGACATGACTCCAATTCCTACAGTAAACTATTATTTAAAAAATGTACAGGACAACTGCAATATTACCCTTGAGATTGAACGAGTAGCAACACCGCCAACACCAACGAAATATAAAACGAACTACTCAAGCAGAAACACGTTTTTGTTGTAGGCTAAGAGATGTGATACGGTGGTCAGTTCCACTGACAGGCAAAGAAAATCGTGCTCAAAATTATATCTAAAGTAAAGGTTACGACGAATTTCTCATATATATTGTACAAGTGCAAAAAAAAATTGTTTCATATGACCCGTCCTCACACCTATTAAGCGTTGCAGAAAATGAATTGTTCCGAGATAAGTCCGGTACCAATTTCACAACCAAACAGTGATCAGAAGTTCCGTGAGACCGAGCCGAGTTCGAACGAGCATCGTACTCGTGGTGAACAGGATCACTACTACTGCACTACCCGCCCTATTAACGACTTACTAGTGCATCCTAACATCTGTGCATAATACCGATAGAGAAACATAGACGGGTTGGTAATACAATAAGAAGAACAGACGATGGATGGGCGAAAAGAGCTGCAGAGAAGACTCCACGGGCATGCAGGCGTCCCCTAAGACACGTTGAACGGATGTGCTAGTAGCCAGCTGTACTCATAGCTGCAGTTATTTTACAGATCATGGTATGACACTCGTATTCTCACCAAGTTCGAATAAAACCACCACAGCGGACGACGACGGCGACGAAAAGAAACGAATGGCAAATGTGCTGGGTCCACCCACACAACTCGTGAAGACGGACCGTTCAGGCATCCAACTAAGTAACATCTGTAGCTATGATGTCCCCTCATGTGAGAAATCCCACGTCGTTTCAACGTACCTCCTACGAGAAACAGATAGATTCTACGAGAGGGAACTAATGCTCTGTTGCATCAGCTAGACCTTTAATACCAACAAAAAGATTCAACTTTCAAAATATAACCAAGCCAAATATCTCTGAGTGACTAGTTACCAGAAGCAACACAAAAAAGGGTATCAGTTGTTATACTTTTCTAACCCCTTTCATTTCTCAGGAAAGTGGAACTTGCTAAGCAGTTCTGGAACGAGGTTGGATGTATGGAGACAAGCAATCGTTACACGTCCTGAACTCCAAGGCAATCCTCGAGCTGATGTCAATCAACTCTTCCTCTTCATCCGTCTCCATCGCGTGCCAGAGTCTTCCGATACGTTCTGTTCGTTCGGTAGATACGTAAAGCACCACATCGCCGTTTAACTCTCTAATGAACATCTAAGTACATGCGGCAACACCATCGCCAACCTAGGCTGGAAGGTGAGAAGTAAGTTTGGAAAAATAGGTTTTGAGGAAATCTTCTACATATCACGTCCCAAATCATGCAAGTATGAATTTTTTACGAGCATGCAGATATTATCCATCTAGGAATAAGAAAATTTGATGCCCTCTACCGTAGCACAACCATTAAGCTACAATTTATACATTTGACTAAGAGGAAAGGGCAACAATAAGTTGCATTAGCTTCTGGTAGCTCGAGAAGACATTTTCTGGTAAAAGGTCTTTACTTTAATGTTTTTGGTCAAACGGTTTCATTTTCACTGTCTTGCAGTAACTTTATGGTATCCGCAACTGCATAGGTTTGCTCTTAGTTTTGTGCCCTGCAAATTTCTTACTCTTCAGCACGAGCGACCTTGCATATGAGGTCAACGCCTAATTTACACAGCATTTCGATAGCTAAGAACTCTGCACCCAGATTAAGGTGATAAACTACTGGTGCACGTTTCTCCTTTCTCTCTCTCTCTCTCTCTCTCTACATATATATATATATATATGTTTGTGTATATGCATATATGTATATGTATACGTATGTCTGTGTGTACGTATGTGTACATGTATATGTATACGTATATCCATATGTATGTGTATATGTATATGTATATATATATGTATACGTGTATGTATATGTACGTGTATATGTGTATGTGCATATGTATATGTATGTGTATATGTATATGTATATGTGTATATGTATATGTATATGTATATGTATATGTATACATGAGCGGCAAAGGTAGTTTCAACAAGGATTTGAAGAATAGGCATTCGAGAACGTATGAAAGCATATATATTATAAGCAAAAAATGATTTTAGAAATCTTGGTCGGAAAAAAGTTGTGTTCATGTCATAATCCTCAACGAACGTTATATTGGAAAATTACCTTGGCGAGTTTTTTCTTCTCGTCGGTAATTGCCTCGATCTGATCTTTGAGGACTTTTCGTTTTTCGTCACGACGTATTCGTACACTCTCGATCAAGTCGCGTCGTCGGTTCTCGACCGTATTCGATACTTCCTGAAAGTCCTTAACTCCTTCGGTTTCATAGGTAGCAAAAAATAAATAGCACTCTGTTTATCGGAAATCATAAAGCATTTGTACAAAGAACGGGGAAATATAGTCTTTCAGCATCATGTGGGACATAGGGACCGGAAAACAAGATTTAATAACCCTTCTCTCAATAGGAATTCAAAGCAAAACTATAACATTATTTATAATAGAGACAATTCCATCAATGAGACATCTACTTAATGGAGAAACAATTTCAATCATAAAAATAAAGACTATAACTCTCGGAAATGTCTAATTTGGTATCAAATTCTGCACACGTTCAATCGCTGAATTCCACGAACTCCTGATTCAAAACAAAAGTGCTTATAAACGCAGTTAATGAATGAAGTTCTCAATTTTTTGACCTCAACCTACACAGAACACTACTATCTAGCTTTGAGATAACAAGGTGAACAGCGAGGTTTGGACAAGAGACCGTGAAATTATGATACTGAAACACAAATGGCAATATGATACGTTTCTACATCATATCATCGCATATAACGAATTTCCATGGGACGGATAGAACAGTGGCAGTGATGTTCGTCATCACGAGCATGGTACTAGTCCGATCCCGTTCCGGACCAACACAGCCTCTCATACCTCAGCGGTCGGCAAATTGGTACCGGATTTGTCTGGGAAAAAATCACTCCCTGCAATCCAATTGGAGATGCTCCAGCCCAGCTATCTCAGGACTCCAAGGAGAATTGCTCGACCAGCATTCTACGATAATCAAAATGAGATGGAAATTAAGCAGCAACCGAAGCCACACGTAAAGTTGGAAGATCTTCGTAGACAATGGATGCAAGGAAACGAATCGAATGTGAGAAGTGCTGGGATCCGCATAGTAGATGTGAAGACGAGTCATAAAAAAAGGATTTTAAAAAATGGATCTCCACCACGTTAGGAATCTCAAAGCAACCAGGCAAAAGGTAATTTGTTGCGTTCCCAAATGGTTTATAAAGGTTAGACGTGTTCCAGGAGCAATCATCTACTATACTGGCCTTGAAAAGTAAAGGAAATCAGACAATAAGCTGCTACTTTCCTACACTTAAGTGACAAATGCTTTCCGTAATCCTTATAGTATCTGTAAATACAACCGTCCCTATAATACCTTATCCGAATAATTTCTTTTAATCATGACGACAGTGAAGGACGGTTTGACTCTGCCCCGGGATTACTAAGACTCATTCCTATAAAGCCGGAAAATTGGTCCTAAACTTGTCTAGGAATAAGGTCGCTCCTTCTAACCCACGCGGGAATACTCTAACCTGCTATCCCGGGACTTCAGCGAGAATCTACTGAACCATCATTCAACGACATTCATGATAGGAGGAAAATCCTCGAGCAGCAGCCGAGCCCACAAGCAAAGTGATGGCGGAGCTTCGTGGATGATGGTTGCGAGGAAACGAATCTAATGTAAGAAGTGATGGTAACTGCATAATAGATGTGGAAGACAGGTGGTGAAAGAAATAATTATAATATATGCAGATGACTTTGCGACCTTAAGAATTGTATGTCGCACGTGAATCCGATCAAAAGCTTACAATCAAATGACTGCGAAGCATACATGAGGCGCATGGAGTCGCATCCATAAAATAAACCCACTTCGGTGCAATATACCTGACGACTAGTCGGCCAGAAGTAGCATGTTGTTACAAACAAAAAAAAGGCAAAAAGGGAAGTGCAACGCTCTTCGTTTACCTTCAGAGAGAGCCACACATTAGTCAGCTCTGATATGAGACAAAGATTAATGAAGAATTACACGTGAATCATGTATTGTCGAAACAAAGGCTATCAACCACAAAGACATCGATGTATGAGCAATACTCGGAATCTCAAGCGATTGCAGTTTTAACTTAGCTGGGTTTAATGCTAATTTGTGCTCTTCAGATCACTCCCGTTGAAGGGTGATTGCCGATTAGAGTAAGGAACAGGGTGACAGAAAAAGAAAACAAGGGTCTGTGTTGGTGTTGTGGATAGTATGTGAGCTTCCAGTAAGGGTAGTCAAGAGGTCCAATCCTACATGAGGTTCCGAGTTTTGGTCATATCTCAGCATTCGTGTGGTTGTACTTCATATAATACCCTGTCTTAAAAAAAGAATAGGCACTATATAAAAAAGTTAAACATTGAACTCACCAACTTCAAGCACACATATCTTAGGTCACGGTGAACTTGGCAAATTTAGACGAGATATTTTAGAAATAACAGGATTTTGCAGCCAAAACAGAAGTACCTTGCCGTATAAAGATGAAATACTCAATTTTTGGAGCTATCAAAATCTTTTTCGTTGATTCATTTCTGTCGAAATTGATATTTAGGAGAGCGAAACGATTTAACAAGCACGATTTTAACAGGCAGGACACGATGACTTCTCCAAATACAATGTTTGTACTTGCTGTTTATATCATTGCACATTGTCGTAGAATGTCGTGTCGTAGAACATTGCAAAAACTCTATAATGTATTAAAGTTTTTATTCCAAATGTTTAAAGTTCAAAAAAATTAGAACAATTATATACGAAGTCCTCTCAACGGTTTACTACCTCAACGTGGCTGAGCGGTGTTTCTGGGTATCGGGCTACGATATACGACAGGAGTTCATCCCCCGAAAAGGTCTCCTAAGCTGAGAAGGACTCCGGCGTTTCCGCCAGGAAACCCAGCTAGGAGTAAACCAATACCAGGATCCATCAGCTTCCTGACATCAAACTATTCGCGTGGTGGCAAATTCATCTTTTATCCACAACGAGGGTGAATGCCTGTGGTGGTGAAGACCTGGGGCAGATTTTGGGTTGCTGACTTCGGGATTACAGGGAACCACAATGGCTTAACTAGTAAATCTCCGAAAAAAAGTAAAATTATGCTGGAGTCCGCACAATCAGTGAAGGCGAGCCATCCAAGTATCAAGTATATACAAAGTAAGAGAACTAGGATGAAGTTTCTCATTTGAATATGACAAGTTATTAACTCCCTTAATATTTCAAAACAATTGTAAATAAATTGGCAAGTTCTCAGCTATACAAATACTCGAGCTATCCAGAAATACGTTATAAATCGCTCACGAGTTGTTCAGTGGCATCTGGAAACAATGACGGAGCTCATAACATTAACAACAACGACCGCGTATTCGAACCACTGTGCACCACTTTACATCACAATTTTCCACGGTTGTCGACAAATTTCTCATAACTTCGTCACGAATGTATTCCTTGGGCCCGCCCCAAACGTGCTACTTTTTTCCGTGGACCAAGCAAACTTTAACGAAATTTACCTACAAATTTTCCATGAGGCTTTCGGAACCTCGTATCCACCTCAATTGCTTAACTTTTACGCAATACAAAATCGCTTTTCATTGCTTTTGTTTTCTCACTAGCTTAAGCACATATGGAAAAACAACGCAAGAAAAACGTGCATTAATGGAAGAAGAAACTGAAATACGAAGAATATATTCCATATGTAAGCTTTCGAAGTGGCTAGAACATGGTGTGTCAACATTCACACAAAAAAGTGTGCCGATCAGAAAATAGAGAATAGATAATAGTACAATAAGAAGGATATTAAAGAATAATTCTACACTTCAAACTACTGACCTGGAATGTGCAATTAATTTGATCAAGAATTTTATCAACATTCTTATCGAGTTGCTCGATCTCCTGACTGACGCACACGTGAGCTTGATCGAGAGCACGAAGTCGGCCCTGCATTGCTATGATTTCTACAACGGATAAAATTTTCTTCTAAATTCCCATGTATGCTATGATTTAGTGGAAAATCGGGAAAACGTACCAAAAATTGCACACAGCGCAACGACATTTTTTTTTTACATATTATAATGACTGTAGATCTTCCTCACCAAGGCTCAACAAATCCTCTAAAGTTCACTACTTGACGATTTCCCAGGTGGCGAATAGGCGGGTAAATGCGAAACAAAAGCGACCTTGTAAATGCCCTGAGACGAAGTTAGAGAGAGGGGTGATATTTGTAGTGAAGGACTAAACTACTCTTGTTCTATGGGCGTAAACATTAACGAAGAAATGTGTATGTATGCCTGGAAATACATGGATTGTATCGTTCACGTCACTTCAAGTAAAATTCTGCAATCAAGGAGCTAGGGAAAACATTGGAGGCGAATAGGGGTCGGCTTTTGGAAGACGCCAACTTCGACGACATTGATCAAAAATTTAGCCGGTATAGTGAGCACCTTCCAGCAAGCGCCAAGAAAAATGGAAGTTAGAAATGCACAGACGATTTTGTCCAGAAATTCTCGAACTCGTAAGCCAATGCGAGAACGTAGGAGCCGCAGGCGGTGGTCTATTCATGTTCGAACCAGTTAAACTTTGTAGAAAGGCGATAAAAGAAGACCTCAAGAAAAAAAAAAGAGAACAGTAGTGAAAGCTAAGTCTACAAAAGACAGAAGAAGGTTCAGAAATGCCTGTCGAAACTTCGAAAACTACAGGAACGGCACTTCAGACGGAACACTCAACGCTTCCAGGAAAGCAACGAAAAAGGATCACCTACGACATATATTCGGATCTGCTTGAAAAGGAATTCCTTCCAATGTCCGTTGTGCTCTCTGGTCAGTGAAGAACCATACATCACCTGCTATTTATGGCATGAAACCTGAAGGTCTTAAGAAGCTAAAGCCAGTCTTCATTGGCACACATGTTTGCTTCATCCCACTTTGCCTTTATGAATGGAAAATTTTCCAAAGATGGAAAACCATCAGGATCGTGCCCTATAGGAGAAACGAAGCTTATGTGACATCAGCAGCTATCATTCCTACTGCATTTCGTCATCTCGTACTCTTTACGCGAGTCATCTTCAAAAGGATTAAGAGTGTATTGGATCAGGGACGAAAATGTCAACAACTAAGATTTCTCTAAGCGATAGATCATATACATGCCGTCACGATACTGAGGCATCGCTAAAGCATAAGATGTCACTCTTGCTTACTTTGATCAATTTAAAATTGCCCTTCGACTGCTGCGAAAAAGACTATTATGGAAGCTCTGAACAACTACAGCGTCTCTATTCAGTAAAAAATCTTTTATATTCTTCGCCATCGCAATTAGAATTTTACCATTCTATAACTGCATTCATGTGTAAAGAAAAGGATTCGAACTCTTGGTACTATCTCGCTTAAACTGATTAAAGATAATTCTGTGAACGTGACGTACAAACTGAGAAAGACCAAAGTGGCAATTAAAATTCATAGTCAGCACCTCTAGCATCTTCGCTTTGCTGATCATGTCGTTTTTACAACATAAAGCACTACCTTGTGGAACGAACGTTAACTGTTTCAACAACACTCATGGAAAATGGGCGTTTAGTTGAACCTTGAGAAAAAACCTTGTTAGTAAGAAACCTACCGTTTCCTGATATTCAGTTCACGCATAATCTTTGAAGAAATATCACCGATGGTCGTCAACATAGTAAAGGATACTTCCAGGGCCGAGGTTTGCTGATTCTGGAAGGTGTGGGTACCGTAACACAAAAGTAAGTGAATCCACTGTTCTAACCTGCGCCGACGATCGATGATCAGGGACGATTGCGCATTAAGATGTCGGAAATAAGACAGACACAAAACGCAGTGCTTCTTGACAACCTATAAGTGCCACTGGGTGGGATCTATAACATGCAGCAAGAAGACCCACAGACCCGATGGTAAGGATTATTCACGAAGGTTCCAGGATAAATATATGATGCTTCTCGGTACTTAGACTGAACAGAACACCACCGGCTACTATTAACACCACGCGTCAAAGACGACTGAAGACTTTAGTGATGCCCACTCCGGTCATTTCACCTCATGTGGTGGGAAATGTATTTTTGAAAAACAAACCTTCGCTCGAAAAACCACGATTTCTGAAATCCTTTTGAGAGCGATAGAAAGCGGAATAACGGTATGTTGATTGCACTTCTTGCTATAAATAAAGAAATAAAAGAGAGTAATTTAGCGACTAAAAGTGAATTTTAAAAACATCCAGCTTGTATTATATCAATAAAAAGTGTTTGTCTGTTACTACAGCTCCGCTTCATCTCTTTCATTCCTATCCTCTATGAAAACACCAAATCCATTTGATAACAGGGTGGAACAAGTTTTTAATTAAATTCGGAAGTTTAAAAAGTAGGAACATTTGAGTTATATTCATAAAGTAAATCTTTAGCAGATGAACACGAGATAAATTCGCTAACTTGAGGACAGATGTCTCACACTGTTGACAGAAGACTATATCGCAACATTCACAATAGAGTAGTTGCTCATTAGGATGCACCGTACATGATGGAACGACGTCTTTACGCTGTTTCTAAAAATGTAGCAAATGAGCAAAAGAGTGTGAACGTCGAAGTACGAAATATTAAATTAGGACACAATGAGTTTCGTGAGTCTTCGTCTATTTACAATTCATCGCAAGCTACCAACACCTCTAGAAATCTTCCTACACAGATTCTATGAACTCTAGCATACATATAGTCCGGAGATTGGGAAACTTTTGTTTTTGAGTCCCGAGTCTTACAAGGACTCTTAACGAGTACCAGTACGAGCATGTATCGGCCGTCGTAAGTCGGATAATTGGCACCTTAGCACTGGATCTCCGTTAGACCAATTTATGACGATCGTTTACTCGGCGTCCAATTTCTTAACATTTCTCCACTCGTAAGAAAGAAAGTTCCACCCTACGCAACCGTTCGGAGTGTAACTATGTGAAACCGCCCACGCACCAAAGCGAAATGAGGAGAACACCATCCGAAAGGCGAAAACTAATGTCGAGCACACCTTGCAAAAATTCTATCCCATTATACATCGCTCACACGTTTTTGTTTGGAGAGAACTCGACTAGGTTACTACAGAAAAGTCTTGAAAAGTCCAGAAAAAATCCCAATGAGTGGAACACTTTGCGGACAAATATTTCCTACGATTCTTTTTTGGTTGAGAAATTCAGTCATTTCGTCCACGAATTCGATTACAGTTTACGTTTCGAGATATTTCTGATATACGTGGCGATTTGTAAACACAACTAACTGTTTATATGATTGATTGGCAAGAAAATTCATAACTACATCACTATTCCAATACTTCTGCTCATAATCTTAACCTTTTAACTTATTTCCTATTCTTCTTAACAGCAGGGTATGTTGCGAATTATAACTACTATAATGCTAAGATATTTGCAAAACTCCGGGCCGCAGACACCTGCGGTCCGGAGTTTTGCAAATACCTCAGCATTATAATAGTTATACTTCTGCTTATAATTTAACAAACATATACACCTGCATGACGTCCAACAATTGATTGATTAAAAATGCTGCCGGCAAAGCGCTAACACCGCCAGAAGGCAATACGCAAACTTCACGACACATTGGACAACGAAGTGAAAGGGCATCAGTCTGAAAAGCAAATAGGACACTTGGTGAGAAAATACGCAGTAAAGGTCTTTGGTGCCATAATAAAATTATAATGCTTCGACCAAAATCTAGGCGACTGTAAACTTAGAACAAAAAAAACTGTCATTTCCACCAACGAACCACCTAATTTTTATTCGCCCTTGAGGCACAATTGGCTGATCTAATCTCCATACTTAATCAATGTGGTTCTTTCTCATCTTATTTTCTATTTCCTCTAACTTATATTCTTTATTTTCATTTACAATCATATTTCTGCCTGGTGAGGAGGAGCTTGGAGACAACGCAGTGGTCACTGACACCTTCGATCAGGGAGCAGAGCGACTAGGTCGATTCCCTTCCCGACTCTCTCCTTCAATCAACGTAGTGACGCCTTAGCTCAGCTATCTCCAAGATTGTAAGGAGAATCGACTCGAGTAGAGTATTCCACGACATTCATAAAGAAGACAGAATCAAGCAGCCGAAACAATTTGCGATATATTCGAAGACCTTTGAGAATGACGGGTGTGAGGAAAACGAATCGAATGAAACAGTTGCTGAGATTCGCACAACAGATGTAATAAAGGGTCATTCAAAAAAAAAGAAATTCCATCTGTTACTTCCTCTAATTCTTTTCATAAATATAGATTGTTGGAAAGAAAATAGATTAATATGTTTTTCCTATATAGTTAACTTTCGAAGTATTCGACATCGATGGAAAGCCTCTGGATAAACGCCATGCGCCCAACTCCACTAATCGTTGAAAAATGAATGAAGTTAGTAGTTGGGTTTTACTACCTAGGCGGGCTTACGGATGTGTCACATGGATATTCCTTCATCTCAGACAAATCTTATATCAATTTGCTGAATCCAAAGGAATTGGAAGTATGGTTAGCCCTAGACAAGTTTATTTCATTATGATGAAACAAGCCAAATATTCATATTCATATACCTCCACGATTCTCTGTAGAGTAGAGAATAGATAACTTATCGCTAGATCTATATTAAACGTCTTACCTAGTACTGTTTAATTAACTTATTTGTATTCATTTATTAATTCAAACCATGCCGAAGTTAAGCCAGAGGACACAGATTTTTGAATAATGAGACTCTGAACCTCTCCATTCAAAAAATTCTTCCAATATAGATTTACAAAGGTGAACTATTACGCCTAAAGCTGGGAAAAAGCTGTATGTTCCGATAAGATTAATTACGACTAAGGAAGCTTGGCTTAGGATGAAATCCGTAGGCAAAGGAAGACAGAATGCTACGGAAAACAAATCCGATTGCCTAATTCCTCATTTCCTTCCACCTAAATGTC